GGGGATTGTTCCCTGAATGCTGTGTATTCAACTTTACACTTTCATATCAACGAACCAATTTGCTCTTATTAAGCAATGCATTTAACTTACTGCATTTTCTCATTCTCCTAAGTTATATAATCCACAGACATTTAATTTGTAAATGTTTACAACTTCACAAAAACATTATTTTGAACACATACTAGTCCATTTGATTGAAAATTTAAACAAAAATCAACAAATAACCATTGTGTTCAGCAACAGGGCACACGGTGCTCTATTTTGGATATTCCATTAATCTGAAACCCAAATGTCCCTTATAAAAAAATCTAATTCTGGCCTCGATGGGCTCTTGTCTGCTCATAAACAAAGTTCACCTGTCTCTTTACTGGTTAACCAGTCTATCCACGCAAAAGCGCCGACATAACTAAGTTATTATGTTAATGGAAATGCACTTACAATGTACCACATTGTATATTATATTATTTCAAAACGACTGCACTACGCACCGGTCGTTCTACAGTGAATATGATGAGAAAAAGCTTTGTATATCCAAAAACCATCTTCATCATCTTCATATCCATCATCATCATACTAAAACATTTTGCAAAAATCTTTTCTGATAATAAATAGAATCTTGCCAAAAAACCGACGATATCTCTAGATCCATAGCAATATATATTTTTAAATAGCTCCAATATTGTGCTCAGCAAAGAATTGACTTGCAGCCACTGTGGTTGCTCCTGCAAATATAATTTAATATGTTTTGTGAACTATTAGATAACCCTACTCGTGGAATGGATAAATGCTATGGAGAAACACATTTTTTTCAATGTCTACAGATTTACCGCAAAGAATTGCACACTGTGCTGATGTATTTTGTTGCGTGTGCGCTGTCGTGTGTATGTGTGTTGGTATATGTGGTGTACATGTGTAGTAGTCACTTCAGAGACACATAGTAGGAGGCACACACGTTTATTCTATACTTCCACAGTACAGGGGATAACTACAATCGGGTCAAGACAGCCGGCACACTGCCTGACCTACAACGCCGAGGAGGTGAGAGGGGGACAGAGACTTGCATAGACGACGGGTTCCATTCCAAACGACAGCCGTGACCCAGCGTCGAGGCCTCCCTTTTATCATTCCCAGCGTGGCCTGGCTCCGCCCTTGGCCACGCCCCATTCTGCAACCTACCAGAAGGTTCTGGGCCCTGCCCCACGTGTCTCCTCTGTCACCTTTACCCCACATCCCTCACCCCAGCCTATCACGTGCCTTGCTGGCAGACCGGCTGCTGTGTCCTCAGATCCCCCTCTCTGCCAGCAACCGGCGCTACGCACTCTAATGGCACATTTCACCTGCCCTGCTGGTAGATCGGGCTACTATACCCACAATCCCGCTCTCTATCAGTAACCAGCGCTACGCGCCCTAGTCACCCATTCTATGTGACTACACATGCGTCCGTGCTTGCACGTGTTCGTATACTGTACATGTACTTGTGAGATCATTTATGTGAGCATAGCAGTAGCACACTTTAGTACCTGGCTTTGATTCCTGGCCATCATTATCATTGGTGGCAATTATTTGAAACAGTCTTGGGCCACTCCTACGTCGACTCATCCTTCAATGAGTACCTGATGCAGTGTGTAAGCCATCAGCACTGGGGAGACAAAGGTGGCCAGGCATGGAGCAGGCCACACCACCCCCTCGTGTGCTATACAAGCCTTCATATGTGCTCACTAACAACACTTTTCCCAACAGTCTGTCACCTGCAGGGGGATCTTCTTTGGTTCTTTCGGTAAAGTCACGTAGAATGAGAATAAAATAATAAATTGATAAAATAAAATAACACAATAATATTCTCATTGTGTTATGTTATTTTATTTAATCAATTTATTATTTTATTCTCATTCTACGTGACTTTACCGAAAGAACCTAAGAAGATGAATCATTGCAGTCACGAAAGCTTTAAATCGAAATCTGCAGGGGGATCTTTGTTGTTTATTGTATGTTAGTGCCTATATCAGTTGACTTTCCCACATTATACATGGTTCATATTCTTGGTTCTTTCGGTAAAGTCACGTTGAAGGGAAACAATAAAATATATATAAAACAATAAAATTCTCACGACGTTTCGACTGCAACACAAGCAGTCATCATCAGTTGTGAAAACCAACGGCAAGAACATTTGAAAGAAGTGGCGGTTTGTATTTATTTATTTATAAACGGTGTTTGTGTTTATTTTTTTTAAAACGTTAGCACCACGGGCAGCGATTTGACAGTTTATTTAGAAGGACGAGTCCATCTATGTTCGGAAAAGAGGAGGGGGGAGACGAAAAATTAATATATGCTGTCTGAAAGCCATCGTAAGCATGAACAATCATTTCGGGTCTTAATTGATTGTTCACGCTTACGGTGGCTTTCAGACAGCATACATTAATTTTTCGTCTCCCCCCTACTCTTTTCCGAACATAGATGGACTCGTCCATTTAAACAAACTGTCAAATCGCTATCCGTGGTGCTAACGTTTAAAAATAAATAAAAACAAACCGCCACTTCTTTGTAATGTTCTTGCCGTTGGTTTTCACACCTGATGATGACTGCTTGTGTTGCAGTCGAAACGTCGTGAGAATGTTATTTTTAATATATATTTGTATTATTTTATTGTTTCCCTTCAACGTAACTTTACCGAAAGAACCAAGAATATGAATCACTGCAGTCACGAAAGATTTAAATAAAAAATTATACATGGTAGTTTAAAGTGCTGCTACAATTTTTATTCAGAGCTTTTTATAACGAGTTGAAGCTTCACCATTAGCCCTGTAAAAGCAAGACCCCTGCCTGGGTAGTTGTTGCCATCAAACACTACATTATGAGTATTTATGACCAATTTGCATGAGCAATAAGTTGCGGCAATTGCTAAAGGAGTGGAGGAGTTTTTTTCTTACACAGCTAGCGTTTTAATCTTTTTTTAAAACTGCCCAGAGAAAACTTCAAATTGAATATGCTGGAATTATTTAATTTGATAATTAATGGCATATTTAAGGTGCATAATACCTTAGTCCACATGCAGCTCTTCGGCTGATCCGCCACATTCACAGGAATTGGCAATGATCAGGGCTTCATTTCTCACCGAATATTCTTATGGTTGCTAGTAAACTCAAGTAGGCACGTGACTAATAGCCGCATCCATGTGCCGGCCACAGATCTGGTTGACATGAAGCCCTGATGATCATGAGGATGATATCACCTTAATCCTTTTTAAATACGACAAAACATTTAAAATATACCCGTGCTTTCTGTCTTTCAATGGCCTGCCTGCACTTATTCCGAGGCAATACCTGGTTTGATAAATGCAAGCTACTCAAGTCTGTGACCCCATAACATATGAGCCTGTCAGTTGACCTGTCAGCGAACCTTCTCCACTCTGCGTGGTCATCGTCGTGGTATGTTAAGTACCCCAAGCTTGGCACTGGCGCCAAGTTGATGCCTTCAGCACTTAGTGGGTGAATGATGATTGTTGTTGTTGTGTGTGTGTGGGAAGCAGTGGTGCAGAGGCGAGTGCATTGCACTTTGAATCCAGCAACTTGCGTTTGATTCCTGGACATCGATAACATCTGTAACAAGCTGCATCTGAACCTGTCGTTGACATCCCCTAGGTTGGCTTAGGCTTAATTATGTCCATGGTAGAAAGACAGTCAGGTTTAGTGCTGGCTACATTATGTCATGTCTTGTGCTGCCCTTAATAGGTGCGCACGGACCACACCTTTCCTACTCATCTTTAAAAGTAGGATATGTAAGGATAAATGGCGAAACAGAGGTTCTTTATCTTTTTTTTACGTTGGATTGTTCATATTAATGCATTTGTGCGCATGTATGAGTGAGCGTAATTGCATACGTGTGTGGTGGGGGGGGGGCGCAATGGTAAGTGTACTATGCTATGAACCCATAACTATGTACCCTTAGTACAGTAACAAAGGTGTCAAAGTGGTATCGAGACCAGATCTGAACCTTCCCTAGGTTAACTTAGCCAGGTGGCATCACGGTGCCAAGATATTAACTATCTCTCCTGGTACAGTATACAGGAGGGTGTGGGTTCGACCCCGATCTCGACCCTGACGCCTGCTGTACATTTTTAGTTTACTTGTCTGTCCCCCTGTGGCCACGTGGATTTTTCTCAGGGTCCTCCAGCTTTTCCCTCCACATTTATGAATCAACACGTATTTGGCTGCTGTAAATTTCCACGTGATAAGCCACTTCGTTGAGCTATCATTTGTGGCCAGGTCGCTTCTGAAAAATATCTATATAGCTCAGTGGGCCCTACCTGGTAAAATTAAAAAAAAAGTTGTTTCAAAAAATTGTTTAAATGAGTACATGGTGTGTGGTATGTTAACAGCAGCACTGGGGAGACAAAAGTGACCAGGCTTGGCATTAGCCACACTATCCCCTAGTGTGCTTTCCTGTCGTTAATAGGTTCTCATTAACAAACACTTGCTCAAACAGCATTTACAATCCTATCTCGTGGATTTGCGTCTTGATTGTGTAAGGGCCTGTGTCTGTACATGTGTAGTGGACACGTTACAAATGTATGCAGTTGTGTGTGTGCTGGTGTTACCAATACATGGGTATTGTCAGTAGATGGCTGCCGTGTGTCTGTGTGTGTCATCCATCATGTGGGGAGCGGTGGTGCAACGGTTTGCATGCTGAGCTAAAACCCAGTGACCCGAGTTCAATTCCTGCTCACGGCCAACACCAGTGACGATCATCTGAACCAGTCCTGGGCTTCCTCTAGCTCGACTTAGCCTTTAAATGCGTACCTGTGGCATTCGTTTAACATCCAAACTGGGGAGGGCAAAGGTGGTCTGGTGTGGCGCTGGCCACCCACCCCCTTGTGTGCCCTACGGGGCCTCAATAGGTGCTCGATAACGGCACTTGCCCCAACAGTCTGTTAACGGGAATGCGAGGAGGAATCTTTGTCTTGTCTGTCACCCATTATGCCCTGTGGTCGTTCGCATCCACAGAAGGGGCTGGAGTCGCCCTGGAGGCTCGCTGTGCCCTGCACGGTGCCCTGCCCAGTCAACTGCCAGCTGTCGGAGTGGTCACCGTGGTCTCTGTGCTCGCGCACCTGCGGCCTGGCAGGTGTGGGGCCATTCGCTACACACTCGCGCTCGCTTGTTTGTGACACATTTATTATTTGGGTTTTAAAATTGCACAAACAAAGTAAATTTCATATGTGGCAGGAGTCAAAGAATTGCATATACCAAAATATATATATATATTTTATTAGTCCCTTGAAGATAACGCATTTCATTTTGTTTTTAAATCGAATACGAAAACGAGGTGCTGTATATTGTACCAGAGAGCCACCAGAGAATTTCTGCATGGGTGCAAGAGTTATTCTGATAAATATGAAATTTGGGTCACATTTTCATATAAACTACTTTCGTAGTCAACCCAAACATGTTATCTTCAGAAGTGTATTCTGTACGGAGGAGTTGGACGCAGTTAAATAGTGACTGCTATTGGTGAACATAGAAAACATGACAAGCACTCTCCAGTAAGCTCTCGATTCTGTTTCCATTTGTAGGCTTTTTTTCATGTTGATTTCATCTCAACTCTCGGTGGCTAACGGGGAGATAGCCAATGTAGTGCCATAAACCTGCAAGACATTTTTTTGCATGATACGCGTGATCACCTTCATTTGAATCATTAGAAATTTGCAAAACTTGTTCAGTCTTAAAAAAAGATGTTGCCAAATGTGCAATTGAGAAAAGTTTTAGTTTAAAACCAATGTACGAGACTCTATAATTAAGAACCAGCTAGAGTTTTGATTGCAGAGCAATCCAGAATGTACATTGGTTACACTTGGTGTCATCGGTGAAAATTATGAAATTAATTCTCACATCTCCATATAATGGGAAAAAAAACCGCTGCAATATTAAAGAGAGTTAATTCAAATTCGCAAAGTGTCCTTTAATTCTAATTATTCTGCGTTGGAGCTAGTGCTAATTACTGTACAACTTGCAGTTATTTTGACCATGGCTGGCTAATGGGCTTGACATAATAATGTCCGGAAGTAATTTCAATCTCTGTCCAGAATTCCTTTAAACAGCGTGTTGCCTTTCTTCATATCAATGTCGAGCATAGACATAACTTTGGCTGGATGCGCGTCTGGAGAACAATGCATCGGCCATGCACCGCTGCGCCTCCGTGAAATTGTGTTCCCCACATGCATAACAAATAACCAAAGTAATGGTTTTAAATTCAATAATAAATGCAGGTGCTCAAAGCAAGAGGCAGAACCAATTTCTGTCATGGATCAAAATAAAATACGTGTCTGAATTAAATTGAATCTTGATTTAATTCCCACTGAGTTAGGCTGCTGGACACTACCCCCCCACGCCCAACAACCCCCACCTCTTCTCCCCCCCCCTCCCTTCATGCTTATGTTTAATAATAATAATAAAAGAGTTGGGGGAGGGGAGTAGCCAGGTTATGCGGTATGGACATTAATACGGACAAAAGAAGAGTGGCACTTGCAAGCAATTCTGGTCATCGTGCTGGAGAAAATTCGCCTGCAGGGATTATTCATCACCCCCACAGACTTGTGCAAGGAGTTGAGCTGAGAGCTCTGTCAGGCTCATCAATTTCCCGCTGCCATGGAGCGAATGCCTTTGTAAAATACTGGGGAGTAAGGAAGCACTGGTGACGCCAATGCCTGACATGGTGCCCACCAAAAGGAAACCCCTTGCCCGTTTGCATTTCTAGTGTGAAAAGTGGTCACCGATTTATTTATATATGTTAGCAGTGTGAACAATGGTAATTTTGTATTTCTTCCTCCTTGTAGAAAAGGCTAATGTGGCAGTTTTAAGTAAATGTTGAGTGTTTCATCTTCTGGGCTCTTTCGGTAAAGTCACGTAGAATGGAGATTTAAAAAAAAAATAGCAGAATAAAATTCTCACGACGTTTCGGCCACAACACAAGTAGCCTTCCTCAGGTGAAGAAACAGGACTGCAAGCTTCACTCAAGCGCTGTCTTCCGGACAGTCCTGTTTCTTCACCTGAGGAAGGCTACTTGTGTTGTGGCTGAAACGTCGTGAGAATTTTATTCTGTTATTATTATTTTTATTATTTTATCTCCATTCTACGTGACTTTACCGAAAGAGCCCAGAAGATGTATCCCTGCAGTCACGAAAGCTTTAAATCGAAATGTTGAGTGTTTCTTTATTCTCTGCTTCGTTCACATTTCCCACTCCTTAACTTCACTGCGCAAACACAGCCAAGCCTCCGAGAGCTTCTGCTGCAAGTTCAATTTTCTATTTTCTGATAGCGTTTATTTAATCTGATGAGATTTATTTGACTCTTTTCTTTGCCGCAAACCCACCAGTGGTGTGCAGTCAGTGCATTTCATCGGCACTTCCTTATGAAAATATATGAATTCATTATAAAGCTCGTGTTGTTTCTTATTGCATCAGCAATAGTCTCTTGTTTGTAAACAATAGTGACTTTTTTTCATTACACGGTTCACAATGCACGGTGGAACGTGAATGCACTGAACTGCAGTAGCCTTTTTCAATTTAATTTTAGCTGAGACATGCTTTGGAGGCATTTCAAATCGGCAGCACATTCCACGACAAGGGCCTTAATTAGGGCTGCCTTGTTTAAGTGGCCTCTTCATGCTAGGGAGATGTAAGCTTCACACATGCTCTCATCTCTCACCGTCACCTGTCACTACAATGCCTGCACTTCCCCGGCAACCTTTAGTCAATTACCAGTTCCCCTTCAGAGACCTCAATCCACTCAATCTTTGTCCTGCCTCTTCACACTTGGCTTTGCTTGTCTTTTTTATGCTAAATCATATTTTATCACATTAAGGAAAATATTCCTACTTTGCAGCGATGGCAGCAGTAGCATTGATGCGGCTTCGCTGCATTTTTATGACCTGTTTGTGATCATGCATCATAAACCATTTTAAGCAGAGAGACAAGACACCGGTATAAAAACTAAGTAAATAAATAAACAAGCATGATGAAGCAATTTTGCACTCAGGAATGTATACATAAGAGTGAAAGAGAGAAATACATTATTTTCATAGTTGGGTTTACAAACATTATTGTTGACATTTATAGGCTTTCATGAATTTTATGAAACTCTGCCACGTAATATAGAGCGTTACTCTCTTGGACACCTTTTTATCATTTTAAGAGACTTTAGGAAAGCATCTTTAAAAAAATCAAACAGGTTATGTTTCATGATTTGTCAACAACAAAAGGTGAATCAAATTGTTTTGAACGGTAAGCTGCTATCACGGGGACTCCATTAAAATAAATGTTCCACTCTCCTCCATTAGCCTCAATTTCTCAGTCTCATTTCCTTCCCATCAGTCATTGCCCGCCAAGATGTGTGCTCCCCATTTATAGGAAAGTACACTCATTTTGCAGTGCATAATATGCACGTTTGTCTATAATGTGCTTGTCTATTTATATACATGTCACTGCATATATTGTGTGCCCGCGTGTGCATAACGTCTAGGTGTCTGCTGTTTGGGGAGCGGTAGTGTAGCGGTGAACCGGTGCCTCCCCTAGGTCGACTCAGCCTCAAATGAGTACCTATTGCAGTGTGCGAATATCGCCGCTAGAGAGACAAAGGCGGCCGCGCGTGGTGTTGGCCACCCACCCCACCCTCCTGTGGCGTGCCAGCCTTCATAGGTGCTCGCTAACAGCGGGGGATCTTTGTCTTTGGTGTCTGCTTTGTGCGCCATTTTCATTGATGGGCAGACCATTCGGTGTATGGTGCACATTTTCTACAAAAAACACACTGTGTGTATGTGTGTGAGATGGAGCTGTCATTTGACTAAAACGCAACTAACTATACCTCGTTGGTGAAGCTCAACAGAGTTTATAAACACATGTCCATATTGTAGATTTGAGCCAAATAAACGTACAGTGAGGGAAAACAGTATTTGATCCCCTGCTGATTTTGTACGTTTGCCCACTGACAAAGAAATTATCAAATTTTGATTTAAAGCTTTCGTGACTGCAGTAATTCATATTCTTAGCTCTTTCGGCAAAGTCACGTTGAAGGGAAACAATAAAATAATAAAATATATATGAAACAAAATTCTCACGACGTTTCGACCATAACACAAACGCTCATCATCAGTTGGTTTTCACACCTGATGATGACCGTTTGTGTTATGGTCGAAACGTCGTGATAATTTTATTGTTTTATATATATTTTATTGTTTCCCTTCAACGTGACTTTACCGAAAGAGCTAAGAATAAAGCAATGATCAGTCTATAATTTTAATGGTAGGTTTATTTGAACAGTGAGAGACAGAATAACAACAACAAAATCCAGAAAAACGCATGTCAAAAATGTTATAAATTGATTTGCATTTTAATGAGGGAAATAAGTATTTGACCCCCTCTCAATCAGAAAGATTTCTGGCTCCCAGGTGTCTTTTATACAGGTAACGAGCTGAGATTAGGAGCACACTCTTAAAGGGAGTGCTCCTAATCTCAGCTTGTTACCTGTATAAAAGACACCTGTCCACAGAAGCAATCAATCAGATTCCAAAGTCTCCACCATGGCCAAGACCAAAGAGCTCTCCAAGGATGTCAGGGACAAGATTGTAGACCTACACAAGGCTGGAATGGGCTACAAGACCATTGCCAAGCACCTTGGTGAGAAGGTGACAACAGTTTGGTGCGATTATTCGCAAATGGAAGAAACACAAAAGAACTGTCAATCTCCCTCGGCCTGGGGCTCCGTGCAAGATCTCACCTCGTGGAGTTGCAATGATCATGAGAACGGTGAGGAATCAGCCCAGAACTACACGGAAGGATCTTGTCAATGATCTCAAGGCAGCTGGGACCATAGTCACCAAGAGAATAATTGGTAACACACTACGCCGTGAAGGACTCAAATCCTGCAGCGCCCGCAAGGTCCCCCTGCTTAAGAAAGCACATATAGATGCCCGTCTGAAGTTTGCCAATGAACATCTGAATGATTCAGAGGACAACTGGGTGAAAGTGTTGTGGTCAGATGAGATCAAAATGGAGCTCTTTGGCATCAACTCAACTCGCCGTGTTTGGAGGAGGAGGAATGCTGCCGATGAACCCAAGAACACTATCCCCACCGTCAAACATGGAGGTGGAAACATTATGCTTTGGGGGTGTTTTTCTGCTAAGGGGACAGGACAACTTCGCCGCATCAAAGGGACGATGGACGGGGCCATGTACCGTCAAATTTTGGGTGAGAACCTCCTTCCCTCAGCCAGGGCATTGAAAATGGGTTGTGGATGGGTATTCCAGCATGACAATGACCCAAAACACACGGCCAAGGCAACAAAGGAGTGGCTCAAGAAGAAGCACATTAAGGTCCTGGAGTGGCCTAGCCAGTCTCCAGACATTAATCCCATAGAAAATCTGTGGAGGGAGCTGAAGGTTCAAGTTGCCAAACGTCAGCCTCGAAACTTTAATGACTTGGAGAAGATCTGCAAAGAGGAGTGGGACAAAATCACTCCTGAGATGTGTGCAAACCTGGTGGCCAACTACAAGAAACGTCTGACCTCTGTGATTGCCAACAAGGGTTTTGCCACCAAGTACTAAGTCATGTTTTGCAGAGGAGTCAAATACTTATTTCCCTCATTAAAATGCAAATCAATTCATAACATTTTTGACATGCATTTTTTCTGGATTTTGTTGTTGCTATTCTGTCTCTCACTGTTCAAATAAACCCACCATTAAAATTATAGACTGATCATTTCTCTGTCAGTGGGCAAACGTACAATATCAGCAGGGAATCAAATACTTTTTTCCCTCACTGTAAACTTGTTTCTTTTTTTTATTATAATCGAGGCATGATGGTGATGTGATACCGATCAGCCCATTAAGTTACACTCGTGCTACATCACACAGCAGTGGGACACACCGGGGGTTTACATGCAGCCATTGCCCCGTGAATGTGGGTCTTCATCTTCACCCTTTAGTAACCCCCTCACTGCAAACCTGCCTATCCTGCACTGATCCGCTCCATCCGTGTCACGCGGATACAGTCGCTTGCAGCATGTCTCTTTGGACTCTTTATTTGTGTCGCCCCTCTCCATCGACTCAGTCGCCTAGGATGGTCACCTTTGCGAGCAACTCAAGCTCCTGGATGAACGAGGCACTGAAAGCCTCCTACGACCTTAAGGTCACAGTCCCAGCGAAGGCAACTAAAATGCATCACCTTAGAAATGCGGCGGGGAAATAAAGATTGAATTGGGTGAGGAACAAGCGGATCGGGGACATAGTCGGAGAAGGAGAACTCCTTGAGACGATGGGACAGGCAAGACGCGAAGAAAGAGGGCTAAGAAAAAAGTGGGAAGATGGTGTCATGGAGGCTTTAAAAAAGAGTGATAGGGCTGCAGAAGGATGGGAGACATAAAAAGAGATGGTAAGACAGGAAGGCATGCAGACATTCTATTTATTAACTAACCCAGGAAATGTGTGGACGTGAAGATGATGATGACAACGATGATGATGATGATGGTCTATGTCATTGTACATATGTATGTGTTCGTGTGTACCCACGTGTAGAAGCACAATTGTTCTGACCCTTTGCTCTAGTGTTCTGAGTGGCCTGATTCACCAGGCAACTGGGTATTTACCTGATAAGCCAAGCCTGGAATTGGGTCATCACACAGCGTGACATAAATCTCAGCTTCAATCAGTTGGCTGTTGATTTAAGTTGCCTGAAGGATGAGGCGGCTCGAACTCCACGTTCGGCGTACCAGACGAATTCCCAGTCGCCCAGATGCCCGGCCTGAACCTGTGTTGTGTCGTGTCGATTTAGGAGTTATACGCAGGGAGAGACGAGTGGTGCGCCCAGCCCAGGGGGACGGGAGGCGCTGCTCACCTCAGCTGCAGCAAAGCAAGCCGTGCCCAGTGCTACCCTGCTACCGCTGGGAGTACGGGCAGTGGTCCGGCTGCCTGCTCCAGGTGCACAGATTTGAGTTTTTCCCCAGCCGCTCCCCCTCTCCCAATTTTATCCCAGTTGTGCCGTCAGTTTCATGCTACGAGCCGAGGATATGTTTCAGAGCAGTGCAATCTGTTTGTATAACAGGACGGCCGAAGGAAGCAGATATCATAGAACTGCTACTGGGATCCTTGCAAGTTACTGCCAGTCCACACTGTATAAGGAACCATTACTCATGCGATGAGTAATTTTCATCGCATGACAGCCAAACGTTTAATTTCAAAGCTGGAATTTATCCAAATTAAGTGCAGAACCACATTTAATGTGATTGTCTTTTTTTTGTGCGGTCATTGGTGACTGGGCTGAGATAATCAACTCGTTGTACTCGAGAACCTGGTTTAATCACAGGGGTGCATGACCCCGGGAAAATCCCACTGTGTGGGTCCCCCCCCCCCATGCCTTCAAACTAAACCGGAAATATTACATCTGACACTGTGACATCAAAGCGCGGGGCCCCCCAAAGCGCGGGGCCCGGGACGATCGCCCCGATTCGCCGTACCCTAGGGACAGCTCTGATCACAGGCCTGTAACCACTCGGCCACAACTATAGATTGTATTTTTATCGATCTACAGTGCGGGAGTTCCACAGCTTCTTTGATGATAAATGATGTCGCTTGTTTTCTATTGCAGTTCGATGAATGGTCGCGATTCAGCTTCACTGTTCAATAAAAATACATATTGTTTTACGTCGCGGCGCAATGTCTTGGCCACGAGTGGCTGCAGGAGTCACGTGAACCCATTGCATACAAATTATAATAGATTTAAAGGTATCAGTCCAATACAATTTGATCCATTTATCATGAGCTTACCAATATTAATAAATGCATCAATGCATCATTAAATTCCTAATCATCACATGTTTCAACCTTTCACCAATATTTAATTACTGCTAAATTCTGGCTTCATTATTTATGTCGTCAAATGTCAAATTGTCTCTCTTCCCAAAAAGCAAAGGGGAGTCCAGTCTCTCTGCAGGACAACCACTTTTGTCTTTCCACACAGATTTTCCTCAACCCCAGAGGTGTGATATGTTAGATCAACCCCCGTCCGACAAGGATATGATACGAATTCACATGTGCATGATTTTAACTATTATACTCAGGCCACGCATTCTTCAGTGTGATATTAATGATCACGTGGGCTTAGGCTCACGAAGGATCCAGATAATGCTGTTCACTGGGTCCACTTAAATGGCTTTATTGAGCCTTCATTCTTGATTTGAAGCTTTCGTGATTGCAGGAATCCATACTCTTTGGTTCTTTCGGTAAAGTCACGTAGGTAGAAATAAAATAAAACAAATAAAACAACAAATTAAAATAAGCCTTCATGATTTGTCTTTGGTTCCCTAAAATGCAGCCTACTCTGGTTTCACCAGCCGAGTCACTGGGAACGCATTGGTGTTCAGAATACCTCTGGAGTTGTTAGCACACTGCACTACGAGTGCAGCAACTTCATATTGATTTCCAGCCATGACTAACATCAGTGGCGAATTATATCTGAACCGATCATGAGCACCCCCCCCCCGCATTGACCAGCGTTGTGAAGTATGGTCAAACAACCCCCATGGCAAATATGGTGTTGGGAGGCCTTCAAACAGAATTAGATTGACAAGGGCTGTAATATAGTACACGATATCTATCGGTGTCATTAGTTCACGAGGTGGGAAACTACTACAGGAAAAACAAATACAAGACTGACAGCTTCCAGTATTAGATGACATTGCCAGCTTCAAGTAGAGTCCACAGTCGGTGTTTCCCAGTGAGAGATTTCTGGGCCACTTGGGAACCTGTGGCGACTGCAGTAAAACTTTTTTTCTTTTCACTTTTCTGAGACATTGATCCTGAATTATGCTTTCACTGGAAGGAGTATGGTGGGGTTTAGGCCCTAACCTAGCACTGCAATACGCTAGAGTAGTTCCCCAGTGGCTGTGCGTATTTTTCACAGTTCCATAGGCAGTTGGGGGCGGTGACATGGCCGAGCGGTCGCGCGTTTTCCACTTGTTGCAGGGGTTTGCGGTTGAAGCCCAGAAGCCTCCCTGGTTAATGCTAAACTGCTGGTACAATAACCACAACATGTGCATCTTCTGCTTCATAATGTAGACCCGATGAAAAAAAGTAGGCCATGTCTACTGCCTTCATGGTCGAAATTTGAACATTACTCACAAATTACCTAATCTCGTAAAACTATGTGGCAAAATCACTCTCACTGTAAAATTACTGCACACGATTCTGAGCTGTGAAACGGAGCACTTTTGTGATAGTCTTGCACCTCCGATTAGGACGGTTGGCTTACGCAGGGTGCAAAGTAAGTTAAACATACATTCATACATACAATGGCACAAATACCAAATGTACCAATTATTTGATAGACAAGCTACTGATAATGTGTGTACAACCATATTCAGACGTCTGAGCATCAAATGTGATTATTTGAGGCTGAATTTGTTTAGAATTATCCGTGTGTAGCTGCGGAAGTTCTGAGTGAAGGTTGAATAAACTGAGAGCAATGATGTGCCTATTTGGACATGTGCACAGTGTTGGCAGTGTCGTTCGTACATTTGTGTTCGGAATGGCATGCTGCTACGATGTGGCAGCTGTTTCTATATGGAGACGTGCCAAGGCAGGGTGCAAATCCGCTCATGTGTGCACGAGAGAGAGTGCAGCCACAAAACATTAAACTCGTGTGCCTCTGACTGAGCCGACTTTCCAATGCAGGATGCACAGTGCGGGGAAGGTGTCCAGGTGCGTAACGTCTCGTGTGTGGTGACGGACGGGCTAACCAACGACTCGGCGATGGCCGTCGAGGAGGACGACAAGTGCGGAGAGCGGCAGGATGTGCCAGATGGAGAGGCTGCCGAGGAGCTACAGAGAGCCTGTTCTGTGCCCTGCCCAGGTGACTGCAAAATAAATATATAAAAAATTTAAGTTGCCTTTTTTTTCCCCAGTGCTCTATCGGTGTCACGTCATGAGACGAGGCTTCCATCGAGAATGCTCCCGGAGCAGTGGATCACTCCGTGTGAGAGAATAGTCGACGAAATGAGATGTCAGAATTATTTCCGAGATATGCTTCAAGTGGCCTTTTCCATGCACAGCAATCTGGGGTGTAATTTGATGCACACAATGTCGCATGAAAGTCAAAGCGGTTTTTTTTTTAATTCCCAGAGCAACAATTTAATATGTTGGGGGGTTTTTTTGTAGAGTCATGTAGTTACGAACATGGTTCATTCATGAATGACTGAAACCCAGGTTGAATCTCAGAATCTCAGCAATGCCAGCTCAGCAGTCTGGTCTCATAGCCACTCAGACACCTCAAGTGCAGAACTTCTTCTTAGAGTAACGGCTCTCCCCGTGGTTTCCCTTCTATTCATGTGGCTGTGTCAGCTCGGCATAACTCTTACAAACATTCAGACGTTTGCGCTGCCTGCACATGCGAAGTAAGCAAAGCTTTCCTTGTGAAGAGGCACGGTTGCAACTCATGTCAAAGCCAATGATAAATCGCCAGCTCCCCACCCAAGAGCCAGATGGCCTGTTCACTGCATGGCTTCGCCTGTCTCCCACTCCTCCCACATAGAGGGCCGAGCAGAGGACATTTTGTAATCACGTACGAGTGGGTGGGACACCAACCATGAGCCTCCCCATTACTGTTAATCACGAACGAGTGCTTTTCAGGACTGTGTCTGCACCATGAACTGCTAAGATTGTCTGTCAATTTATATTTTGTGTTGGAGAGGTTTTTTTGGGATATTTAGGCTTCATTACAAACAAACAAAATCTACGTTTTTTTTCCCTGGTGTTTAAACGTTGCTATCCAGTGGTCAAAAATAAAAACAACAAATGTATTGAAAAATACAGCTTACTAGTAGCCATATGTGAAATATTTGAACATGTATTGCTTCGATTACACGTGTGTTTACATTTGGAATGAAGCTGTATATTCACAAGCATCTCTTCTCATTAACGGCAACTTATATAATCAATATTAACAAAAGTTAATTGAATATAAAACAAACTGTGTAAATAAACACATTATTTCGAATGTTAATGGGGTGGCGCAGGGTAGCAGTGGTTGACCCACTGTGCTATTAACCTATTAACCTGGTGACCTCAGTTTAATACCTGCCCTTCCCTTCACCAACCCATACTCACCAGCATTGTGATGCATGGTCAAATACCATCAATGAATGATACTACAAGAGGGAATGCCTTCTACCAGCAGTGGCATGACGCGAGCCTAACTATTATCATAGCACAGGTAATGCCAAGTGGAATTCATTGGAGGAACCACAGCGGTCAACCACAGGAGTCACGTGCATTGCCAAATGCATCATGGTTCGTCAAAACATATAATTAAGGAATGTAACTACATTTTGAGGACTTTTTTTGTCCACATCGTACGTGCTGACGGGGCCTCTAAATGTGGGGAATGTCATGACACCCGAGATGTGGCCACATTTAGGGACTTTATAATTCCGAATTGCATTGTACTCTTAATAATGGCCCAGCTTTCTTGAAAATTAGAAGCAACCATTGGCTCGTTTCTACTTTAGTAGTCACATCAGACCAGCTTTGACTGCACGGTTGGGACATTTGAGAGTGAATCAAAATGAGTGTATCTGTTGGCGAAGCTGAGTTGTTTTGGTACGAGAAGATGGAAGACAGAAAGTTATGAGATTTCTGTTACTGCTGCTCTTGTCGGCATTCTGCAGAAGATTTTGGGGAGCACTGCAAATGAAGGAAAATAAGGGCCTGTGGACGAGCTTAAGGTGCAGGTAAAGGTGAAACCCTGCAATGTCTCACTCACGTCATGGCTGGAATGAGGGCCTTCACTAGAGGGAGCTATAAAGAACCTCTCCCTTTGAGCTAATAAACAATTATATTATTCCAATTACTATAAATGTAAATAGACAGGAAGAATTGCCATTCTCCTGGCAGAGAGGGGGGAACAAACGTGACTAAGTGACTGTCAGATAATGCCATTTCATATCTCCAAAGCATGACACACTGAACACCTCTGAAGAATGATGCATGTCTTTATATAGTTTAATAAAGACAACATGCAGATATATTGTTGCTGCTGTTAACAGCAGATATATTCACAGGAAGCTACGTGCACATTTTACCTATTCTCGTTTAGCACATTTACTCAAGATCCAATAATGAGGGTCTTAAATGATGATCCCTTGGACTTTCCAGTAAAACTCTACACTTCCAGGCAACCACTTACCTCAACAGTTTATTACTTATCTGCTTTAATTAAGGGTACTTATTTCACCCGTAAACAAGATGCGACGTTTTGCTTGCTTGCTTGCGCGCTCTGGCATCAAAATAAATAAGCTTAAACGAATGCATGGTTAATTTCAGAAGAGTCAATACAAGGGCCAAAGAACTATCAGCCCAGCAATAAAGATAGGGCTACACAGCGTGCACTAGCAATGTGTGGCGTATGTTAACGTGGTAACCGTCAGGTGCTCCCCGGAACAATAACTTCAAAATCGATAGCAGCCTGGCCCGAATGCCTGCTTGGGGACGTGACACTTCACAGAGAAATTGAGCGTGCAGGCAGTCGGGAGGGTGGATTTCTGCGGATGGTTTGCAGGCTTATTGGAAATCAATTGAATTTTTAATTAACTTTTTTTTTACATGCGTCTGCTACGTGTTTTCGTGTAACTCGGGATTTAGCTGATATGTTAGCATTTAAAAGGACAACTTCATTTTTAAAGAAAGTCTAGCCACACCTCAGCCAAACCTCGTCTGAAACTTGCATTGCAGTTGACATGATGTGCATAATATCATGAATTCATTGCTTTGTTACAAAAACCCTGACGCCTGCTGTATATTTGGAGTTTGCATGTTCTCCCCACGTACATTTTTCTCCAGGTCCTCCGGCTTTTCCCTCCACATTTAGAAACATGCGTTTATAGAATTTGGCTGATCTAAATTTCGGCATAAGCCACCTCAGTGGGCTATCATCTATGGCCATGTGACTTCTGAAAAGAGCTATATAGCTCAGTGGGCCTTATCTGATAAAATAAAAAAAATTGTTTAGTTTAACTGTTTTCATGTCCCAAGAGCCATCACATTTTTGATAATTCGATTTTGATGGAAATGCTTCAGAAGTGAGACAAGTCTTATTTTGTGTTAAAATTATTTTGGACAGAAATTTTACTCTGCAATGATGGTTCAAGTGCACTTGGCTGTCAACAATTTGATAAGAGATATGAAATAATTACACTTGGTGGGATCCTGTGGGGAGGCTGAGTACTGTCGACATCCTGATTGTAATTTTGTTTGACTTGCTGCTCAAACAGGGGACCTGATTTGCATGAGACATCAATAACGTCCACTCCACCCAGATTCTACCCGTCAAGTTAATTAGCAGCATGTAATTAATGAAAATAATTACATAACACCAGTTTGTATGTGCGCGTGTGTGATAACGACCTGTATTGGCTTGGCATTGATCTTAATGAGCTTGGAGCAAACCATTGTCACATGTTGTCGTCAATGTGCATGCAATAACATTACAAAAGTCATGAATGTAATCAGCATTTAATTACATATCTATGAGAGCTGGGCTATTTTATTATTTCATTAAACAATCACTCTACCCATTATTGGTTCGATTATGCCATGCATCGAAAAATACGAAAATTGTTGGGATAAACAAAGTCACTTCTGTTCCTATGTGGAGCTGTGGATTGAAGACAATGGGCAGGGTTTGGTGACGTCGTGATCTTTATCATCCGGGGCGTGGCTTGTAGGGGATTCCCACCTTTGGAGTGAAGGATGTGGGGGGCATCCACTGTTTTTAATTAGGCACAAGTAATCGACTTAAAAAAATGACAATGCATCAAGAATCATCGAATGGTTTTGAATGTTTTCCACAGTATAATGCAGCACTGGCTTCACAAAGAGCTGTACATTATAATCAACCCACATACGTAGCACTAGTACGTATCTAAGTCTGAACACTTGTTATCTTGCACTTCTACGAGTCCAGCCCATCACAAATGCACGCTGATCACACAGTGTATGCTCTTTGTTTTATGTCTGTTGCAAAACTGGCTCGGACTCGAGGATGGATCCCAAACATGCGCGGGTAACTGGTTCCAGGTCTTCTGTTGATCCTAGACCAGCAACAGTTTACATCCAGAGTGTTAATACAGGGGAGAACGTTTTTTTTATTAACCATTTTGTGAGGGACCAAAATCGTAGATCCTGTTTTCCCTGCATTCCCATTTATCCGTAAAAAAAATTGTTCCTGATAATTGGAAAAATGTGGCCACTCTTGATAGATTTTGCAGACTCACCGACTTGTGCAGATGATGGAAATTGTGGGTGAAAGGGTGACAGATAAGATGAATTCCTTCCTGTACGTGTAATGTTTGTTATTTACAAATTAAATCGACGTTGTTTAATGGCCACATTAGTTGCAAAGGTTTCACTACCACATAGTTTGACGTTTTAAATACGGGTGATCGTGACTTTAACGCATTTTGAGAGACTCCATTCACTGGCAACCTTGGCCTCAGTCCATGAGAAAATTCGGACCCCAGGGGAAGTCGGTAGACGCTTCCAGCAGTACGCCAACATGGGTTCTAATGGTGGATCTGTCTCGCTTTTAAATGTTCGATTTAATATATTGGATTGAGAAGAGGAGCCCCCATCTTTACATTATTTCTTTAAAGCTTGAATTTAGTTATCTCACTTATTATTACAATTGATAATACAATTACGCAAAGTCTTCTTTTGTAAAATGTGATTCCTAATTTGACTTGTTTTGGCCTAAGAAATGTAATTCCCGGCCATTTGGTCGCATTAGATTGCTCATTAGTTTTCTTACACACGTTTTACAAGCAGAGTAATTTGGCGTAATCAAGGTAATGATTTGAAATTAACAGTAACATCTTAAGTTTTGTGAGTAAAAAAAAATCCGTACTTTTCAAATGACAAACATCACATTTAATTTACAACCAAATGACAGTAAAAAAAAATACTTTGACATGATAAATAGGACAATTAAATGCCGTTTGCTAAATTCACTCGCTTTTTTTATTGCAGCCTTTATACCTTGTACATTTATTTGAGAAGCAGTCATTGTGCCAGCTGACAAACATTAAACCTGAATGTGTATCCATTAGGCTGGTAGCGATACATCAATTTAACATGGACATTGACGCCGCAGGCACCGCTTGTAATCCAAGTGGGGTTGTCCGGGTAGTAGAGCCGCTTGCTGAACGTATCTTCTCTCAAGCTTTCACCACGCGCTGCTGTGGGCACCCTCAGGAGTTGAATATTGGCTCTACTGGAGGAATTGAATATTGGTTCTACTGGAGGAGTCGAATATTCACCATTAGATTAGTTTTAATGTTCACTCTCCGGGAGTGACTTTTCAGTCTGAATATTGGTTCCTCTGGAGGAGGAGTTGAATGTTCCAATTTCAGGAGTAGCTGAATATTGGTTCCTCTGGAGGAATTGAATGTTCCAATTTCAGGAGTAGCTGAATATGGGCTCCACTATAGGAGTTGAATGTTCCAATTTCAGGAGTAGCATATGGGTTCCTCTGGAGGAGTTTAATGTTCCCATTTCAGGAGTAGCTGAATATGGGCTCCACTGGAGGAGTTGGAACATGATAACCCCCATATTAACTCATCGATTTGTTAATTAAAATCCATTCTTACATGAAAGAAACACTCAATATATCATGCTTTTGAGAATCGACAATCCATAATGTGATGAAAACTGTATACTAATGTTATATTTAGGCTAAACGAGCAAATACATGTAAGATGCAAATAAACTATTACAAATACAAAGTAAATAAATTAGACAAAACTATTGATTTGTCTCATTGAGTTGCAACCGACAGTTACAGATAAAAGCTGGGGGGTGAATCACGACATCCCTCATCTCCATGTCTCGCTTGTGTCACCACTAGGTTAAGCCATGAAGATTCCCCATAAGGCAATTCACACGTATATATTTTTTATATTGAAAGACAAAAAAATTTTTGCAGATATTTGTGAAATGTCCGTATCCATCTTACATTGAGAGGCAAAGGTTAATTATTTTTCAGTGCTGTATTTGAGCATGATATGTTTTATAGTGTAAACTTTAATCATAACAAGTAATTTCCCAAAGTGTGGGAAATTGATTAAAAGAACCGGAGTCACTTGTGTTCTACAGAATATAGACTATTAAAAAGCGAAAAACCTCTGTCTGCTGCTAGTGTGGATCTGCCATTAGTGACAGCGGACATTGGACCTAGCTTTTTATTGAAGGGACTTTAATTTTAACACTCTCCAAAATATCATGGGACCTCCTTTGCCAGTAACAAAATATGATAATAGGTTTTTCCCCTTTTTTCTGGCAACAAAACAGGTGTTAAGATGTTAAAACACCAAACTGAAACCTTTTACAAGGAATCATGTCTGCATTAACCACAATGCTTGTGGTCAGAATGCAAACAAAAAACGTACTCTAATAATATATGCATTGTCTTTGAAACTGATTGGTCCACACCAGAAACAGCTTTCAGAGTATATTTTTTGTTTGCATTCTGACCACAAGTATTGTGGTTAATGCAGACATGATTCCTGGTAAAAAGTTTCAGTTTGGTGTTTTAACATCTTAACACCTGTTCTGTTGCCAGAAAAAAGGGGGAAAACCTATTATCACTCTCCAAAATAGATATAAATGGTTAATGCATCGCTCTACCCACCTGCATGATCCAATATGAACAAAACTTTTGCTGCTTATCGAAAACTGGCCAAATATTATCAAAGGATTGCCCAAAAATTGGAAACAAACCCAGAGCTTCCAGGGAAAGTGTGCATCTTCGCTCTCTCACCCCAACCTGATAATATATACTTGTGACATCTTCTTACAACGTCTCATGCAATGCGATGCCATCTCACTGTGCGGCTTCAGACGTTACGTTTGTTTCTCGCTTACTCAGACAAAGACCCCCCATATATCTCTTGACGATAGAAGCAAGTGCTGTTAGCGAACACCTATGAAGGCCGGCATGGCACGCGAGGGGGTGGGTGGTGATGTTTACACACCGCACCAGGTACTTATATGAGGCTGAGTCGACCTAGGGGAGGCCCAGGACCAGTCCAGATAATCGTCACTGGTGTCAGCCGTGAGCGGGAATTGAACCCACGCCGCCGGGTTTCGTAGAGCAATGCGCTAACTACAACTTTACCGCTCCCCTATCACTTACTAAATACACCTCAGGACAAAGCGCATGTTGGAAAGCGTTACGGAATCCTTGCACCTACATGATTTTTCTCCCCAGTTTTTAATTGCACCGTTGTCCCCACCGGCTGCTCCGTGGCGCGCGTTTCCACGTGTTTCTCTCGGCCGTCCCAGGAGACTGCCGCCTGGGCAAGTGGTCCGACTGGAGCGTGTGTCAGCTGATGTGCGCCACCGGCAGCAACTTGGGGCTGCGCGGCGTGCAGGCGCGCTCGCGCGTCGCCCTCGGAGCTGCGGTGCCGGAGAGCCGTGCCGCCTGCCCGGCGCAGGTCTGGGAGTCGCGCCCGTGCGACGGTGAGGCGGCCTCCTCTTCTGATGCCTCGGGTTCGGCTTCTGTCGTCGCGACGATTAGCTTTGTTTGCGTAATATTGGCAATAATTTTTTCCACCCAAATAAAAAAAAAACAACATGTGAGTTTCCCCCGAGACGCCAAGTAGGTCCAGGTATTCGCGTGGAGGATTATTTTAAGATATCCTTGGTTTCGGTGATGCAGATGATTAAAAATAACAGTGTGTTCAGTCGTTTACTTGTTCTGCGGTTTGGAAATGTGTGCAAACGATTTAGCTGTGCAGGTGTTCATTTCTGCTTGAGGTGGCATGAAGGGATAGAGTTGATTATTTGCCTCCTCTCCTGAACTTGAGCATTGTCACTTGGAACTAAGACGTGCTCTTAATATTCGCTGGCTCACTCACATTCCGTGATTCACAGAGGCAACATCGTCCCCAGGGTGGTCACTGTTGGCACCTTCCGGCGATCGCTCTTCTCTGGCTCGCGTTGCTCAGCCATAGTTCTGCAGCTGTGCTGCAGAGCACCGAGCAGGGGTGCTCAATCATTTTCAAACCTCGGCAGTGTACACTGGCCTAGGGAATTGAACCTCTGACCTCCCACTCAAAGCAGACACTCTAACCATAAGGCATTGGCTTACTCCGGTGATGGTCATATGTTTTGGTATTGATTTTTCCATAGTTCTGGTAATGCTGCAATGGTGTGATAGCAGCTTTGGGACGAAAGCAATTTGTAGCGGTGTGCCGTTCATTTTTCAAAAAGATAGCACGTACAGCGCCGTTTAATTTTTAATGGCAGGACGGGGAGTCGTTACAATGCAAGAGTTACATGCATTGCTTCGTGGTGCTTGCAAACAGATGGAAAGTGCTTTCAGTACCAATGGAGGTCAGGGCCTTGGCGAGGGACGGAGAGAGAGGTGTGGTGTGCCCGCTCGGATGGCATCAATGTGACCGGTATGATCGTGATTGTTGTTACTGCGTTCTTACAAACCCCATTCCAGAGCATGACGTTTAAAATGCATTCAACCCTTAACACGCCCTTCTCCGTATTAAACACAGGTGGTTGTCTCGCTTCATCCGAGCCGCCCAGGATGAGATCTTGCCAGCCACCCTGCCCGAAACCCAACTCATTCTGTACACAGGTGGGGAGACCGCAGTTGATGTTTAGCTGACACGTTCATCATCTCTATCTTTAAAAAAAAGAATCGTTCATCCTTTTACACGGTGTCAGAATTTGTCAGATGAGATCAGTTGAACCATTCGCAGAGCCTCAGCCACTCCTGGTGATGAGGCTTGTCAAAGCACAATGTTCAATATAATAAGGCCAAGTGGAGTGTGGGAGGGATGGGCTTGATTCCACGGTATATTTTAACTGAACTACTGCGAGATACAACTCGGCCACTGGAAAGCATTGTGGTAGGCAGAGATAAGCGCTGAATAACAGAGCTTTTGGATGTTCATACTTAATTAGGAAAACAATTAGGCCACCACATGTTTGTCAATATCTTTCTGTGTGATCTTGTTCGGGTTTATTTGTTTGAAAAAACCTGCCGAGCATTTTTGCAATGCTAAATCGGGACGGACAAAGGGGGCATATATTTAAGGTTTGCTTGAGCACGTCAGATTTGGCCAAATCACGAGCACCTTTTTCTTATAATGCACTGTGTAAGTGAGGCTGTCAATAATGGTGCCAGACGTGGTTGTGCATGTCTCTGATCCAGAACTTTCCAGGCAGGAGTTAGTGGGTCGAATAGATTTGTGAAACTACAGAACTATCCGGGCTCTTGAGGTGGATAGGAGTGTGTTCATGCGAAATCTTCAAGAGTTATTCCATTATATGGATGGATTGTCTCCAAGTGCATTGATATCTTCCCACAAAAAGGAAAACACTCAATTAAATTAAATTCGCCAAACATCCCAGTACAGGAGCCTTCTGAAAAATAGTGTTGAGATGTATTGAGGCTTTCCTAGATTAATGCATTACATTATTATACCTATTATTATTACTGCATACGTTATAGCAATTGTTTGTATCTTATGGTTGTATCTTGTGTTAATCGGGTCATTATCCAAAGTTTCACTCCACGTGCTGGGAGTTCTTACAAGAAATCAGTTCTTGAATTGAATTCATGAATTCACAAGGAATTATTCAGTCACTGGAGCGAAACATTGGATATCATGCTGAACAATATGGGATGCAACCCAAAAACCCATTGGGAGAGAGCTATCTATCTATAACTAATATAATATAAACTAAACTATAAAATGAAACTATTTTTATTTTACCAGGTAAGGCCCACTGAACTATATAGCTCTTTTTCAGAAGCGACCAGGCCACAAATGATAGCTCAACAAAGTGGCTTGTCATGTGGAAGTTTATAGCAGCCAAATACTCTAAATGCGTGTTTCTAAATGTGGAGGGGAAAACCAAAGTACCGGAAGAAAAATCCACGCGGCCACAGGGAGAGAGACATGCAAACTCCAAAGCTACAGCAGGCGTCAGGGTCAGGATCGAACACACGACCTCCTGTACACCAGGCGAGGTAGTAAACGTCTTGCTACTGTGGCGAAGCTATGTAATATGATTATAAGTGCATTGAATAAGTACAAACTGACGGTCGTCATTGTCGTCGTTCTCTGCTGTGCGTGAGCAGACGGGGACGTGCGAGTGTGCGCGGGGGTTCTCACGAGCGAGTGTGCTGGGCGGGACGGCGGTGCGGTGCGAGCGCGTTACCCTGACAGCTGGCGCCGGTAGTGGCGGCAGCGGCAGTGGAGGCGGCGGTGGTGAGCACAGGGCGGACGTCGTGGCCGGTCATGGCGCTGGCCGGAGCCGGCCTGACGTGAACGGTGACACGAGGCTCGGCGATGTTCTCCGAACGTGGTCCATGCAGCCCTATGGCCCTGGTACGTGAAAAACAGTTGTGGCTAATTTCCGAGTGCGGGCTGTCACTGCAGAGCACCGCCTGTGCGTGTTATCTCGTGTGGCATGGAATATTTGCAAATGCAGAAGCGTGTGCAAGGTTTTCCACCATCCAGCAATGGGTTTTAATGAGAAGTGGGAAGAATTGCTATTTTTTTAAAATCTAAATTGCCAGGCTTTCATCACGAGCCTATGAAGAAGGGACATTACCCATCACATCGTCTGTAATATATTTTTTCCATGATGGCAGTGCTAATGACGAATGTGTTGAGATTCTTGTTTATTCGTGCTTTGTGCACCACTGCCAAGGCAGTATCGCCAAAAAAATACATGTTTTCATTCTAAGTTCAGCAATTTACCATTTTACAAAGTGGATTTACTCCTCTGTCATGGCCTCGCTTTGTGTGCTGTGATTTACATGTTTCTTTTTTACAGTTGCATCCCGACCATAATTGTAATTGGATGAGAGTCATCACGTATGACTGATTAGGTAGTGGATTGGCTTCCATTAAACCTGCACAAGCAAGTAAGCAACCCTGCTACCCATGACCTTCAGGTCCCTTCTGATCCAGAAGGGTCCCTGGTTGGGGTTATAAGGTGGTTATTGTGGCTGGCTGGGACAATGTCTAGTCAGGTGAACAAATTGCCAGACAGATCAACAGCTGCACTGGAGAAACAGATGGCAGAGGGGTGCCTTAGGCACCAATGTCATACTGCAACAGAGGGCTTGTACTGGCTCCAATAATAAAATGACCTTTACAGAATTCCAGACTGCAGAAGCGCACGACTGGGTGTAGCTTTGCACACTGAAACTTGGGTGAGAAGCACCATTTTCCATCGGTTCCCGTGTCTGTAAATTGAGGCTGTGGTTGAGCGAGTAACTAGTCCCTGTGAAAATGCTGCACACGGCATCTCTAATGAACTCTTCTCATTCTTGGCCGTGGGGAAACCTTCTTGCGGAAGCTCCATGCTGGAGGATTGTGCAGCCTACGAAGGGTCTGGGGCAAAGTGCACAAGATCCCCAAATCCTGATGGCAGGGTGCTTTGGCGTTTACTTGTGGTTGGTCGGAATGAAAAGGCATATGTTCAATGGATATGCTCTGCGGTTAATCTTTGGCGGTTATCCGTGTGGGCACCTTGAAATATCCTCTCTCTTGCCAATGACAGTCATTTTCCCTTCACCTCGGCTGAGCTTTGTAGGCTGTGAGTTTAGATAGCTGCTTTTTTTTCCTCTTTTAAAATATATCACTTGGAAAATCCCTTGAGAATGGAATATCTCATTTGGAAGGGTGGCCAGTGTGTCACTTGCTGCATTGGCCTGGGAGTGGAGAGATTGTGAAGGGGAGATGCACCTACCACTTGTCTGGAGAACCAGGAATATGGTAGCTTTCTAAAGCAGACTCGTTTTGTCGGTTAAAAGCGTTACTGTGGAGAAGGCCCTAGGGTCATCTACAGGCCAGTTGGCTGCGTTTGATCGACTGTTACTGTCGAGACATGGGGAGAGGAAGGCAGGTCGCTTTGAGGGTTTGCTGGGAGGGTCGCTAGGGGTTGGTACCAGAGCGTGTGATGCACTTTGCAAGTCAGGCGACTTTTGTTTGAAGGGCTTTTATATGCATTTGTAGCCATTCGATCAAATGTCTAAATAACTTTTATTCAGGTAATGGTACTTACTCCAATTAAAAGTAAATTTCAAATCTGAAATTTGTGTAATTTCAATTAAATCGGTAATTATTCTGGTCTGTTGGCAACTCAAGGCCTAGAAAAGTCACACTTATCCAGCACTAATTCCTGGTCAAAACTCCTCCCATTGCTACTGTGAGGCAAATTCAATTTACGTAAAAAAATCCCATCATTACTGGTTTTTCACATTTGCACTTTACCTCTCCCCTATCGTCACTTTCATTCTCTATTACTTTGCAATGTGTTTTTAAGATTATCTAGCAAATGTCTGGTGTCCGATTTCTAATACAGATTCATGAATATACCTATTATGGGGGTTATCACTGAATTTGCAGGCCTGTCAATTTACTTGAAGATGTTTTTCTCACAAATGCATGATGTTGAAAAGACATCTAATTTTTCTTATATCTTCATGAAATATTCAGGTCCCTACTCTGTATCAGACTGTTCACACATATAATGAATTTAATATTGCTTACTTTAGCGCATTGACATAGATTTTTTTTTATTCAGATATACAGTATAGTCCTGCAGCTCACACAAGATAGTAGAGCAAGTTTATATATATACAAAGGATATTTAAATGTTGTCTACACTGCTGATGGACAATATCAAGGTTTTGTCAACACTTTTCAATATATTAATTTGAGTCACTCCAGTCTTGCAACCCATTCTCATGTTTTAATCATCTCGCCCTCACATTTCCTTTTCGAGAAAATTGCACGGTGCGCTGAACACGATGTGAATGCGACCTTCTGTTTCACTAACGTACGCGTGGGGTAGGACGTGAGTCGGCATTCCTCGTTTGCAGCCTTACAGGCGATCAATTGATCGCTACTCCACCGGGCACCACTTCCCTGTTGTTTGTGCTGTGCCTCTCTCGTGAACGTAGCCCATGACCAACCTGGACAGGAAGGACAGTAAAGCACAGCCCTATTGGACCCATTGTTGAGACTTTATACATTGCATTGAGTTCTCTGTTGAGACCTACGTTCCATTAGGCATTAAATCACACGCCTGAAATCACTGCAAATGCATTGTCCAGGGACCCAGTACGCAGACAAAATTAAACTTCTTTTTCTCCCCTCGCCAGCTATCACTTTGCTTTCCAAAGTAAAAAAAAAAAATGTTTCTCAAAAATAAAACATACAAATCTAAAACGGTGAAATGCATGCGGTATTTCTTGCACTGCTTTCGTCTTTTAGTTTGTCGTTGGGTACTAAATAGTTTTGAAAAGAACGTGCTCCGTCAGTGCATGTTGTCTGCTGATGACATACAGAGCAGAAAAAAATGCACAGTGACAAGGAAAATGTAACCAAAGCAAGGTGGACGATTGGACTTGGCAGAGGGTTTAGAGAACATGCGCGCGCTATAGACATCACGTTGACTCACAGGAAAAGTGCGTGAGCTTGGGCAAGGACACCTCACTAGAAGGGATGATGGCCCTCGGTATGAGATGGAACGATGGCGTGCGGCCGAAGGAGGGCACATGCCCGAGAGGACCGTCCATCGTGGAAAATTGAGCAATGATATCAGCCTGTGCATAGGAGGCAGGAGCTACAATGGAATATTGCTTGGCGTGACCGTGAGAAATGACGACGGCTTGGCAAGCCCTTCATCCAGCAGTGGATATATCATGGGTGCCGATTATGGGTTCACTGGGCGAGTGTATATTTTAAGAAGTTTGTGGCGGGAGGGGGGGGGTGGGTTTCTTACATTATGAATAGTGACATAAACATGATACGAGCTCAGGTTGACTTTCAGTGGCGCACAGGGAAAAACACATCATTTATGTTGTCTCCCGATGTGGACGGTCAATAGACCCAGAGTGATATGATTAATGTGTTTCTGCCTTCGCAGGTGCAACAGTTTTCCTGCGCCCGGAATAATGCGCTCGTTTATGCATACATGACTGTATATCAGCGAGGTGGTTGTGAATTGGTGTCATAAAATTGGAATGCTCTACCGTTTTGTCCCTCAAATGGCATCCCTTTTAAAATTGTCCCCGTCGTACGGAAACAAGGCTTGTGTTTTTTTCACAGTCGAGCAACTATCACCGTGTGTTTCGGAGACACTCAACACTCCGGGGGGAGAACCCTAAACGTTAACATGTTTTTTTGACGTTATGGATTTTCTGATTTCACGCCTCCCATCTGCCCTTCCCGTTTTGGAACATGTTCTACATTTTGTTTTTTATTGGACAGCGATTCCTCGTCCACATTCCCCGCGCCTGTTTGTGGTTTTTCTCTCTCTCGTTCCCACGCCCTGTCGGAGCAGACGGAAAGCTGAAAGTGTGGGTTTACGGTGTGTCGGCGGCTGCGTGTGTACTCCTCACCTTCATCGTCTCCATGATATATCTGGCCTGGTAAAGTATAATCATCATAATTATTATCGTCATTACTACCACTAAAGCATTGCACAGTTGCAGTAAATACACAGCGAGTAGCCGTGTAATGATGTTTCGATTCTTCAATCAAAATTGATTCTCATGCTCACGACACGTGCGGAAAATTGTGCGAGTAAGTATCGATTGTTTTCAATTCCTATATCTTGTACGTACAGTAATGAGTTTACGCGAACCATTCGGCCGCTAGAGGCACCACCTTCGCAAGAAACGTTAAAAACTAAATTGATTCTTAAATCAAATCGTGACCCTAGATTGTGACAATTCATTGAATAATGAGGGGAGGTGGTGGTGGGGGAGGGGGAAGGAATCGTTACATGTCTATTTTTGAGAGGTTTTTTTTTGTTGCTACTGTTGCAAGATACAGTATTATAAAAAGTGGTGAACTGGTGGTGCAGTTGTTGGCGTGTTGCACTGTGAACCCAGCAAACCTGCGTTTGATTCCCGGCTTCGGCGACAATGAGCGGCGAGAGAGATCTCAGCTGGTTCCTCGCCATCCCCCAACCCCCACCCCTTCACCAACCTGCAGTGACCAGCGTGGTGAAGTATGGTCAAACAATGCCCATGAAGGACAGTGTGAGGAGGTCTTCATCCAACAGTGGTTTGACAATGGACTATCAAAATATAATCTCAAATATAAAACGTATGAAGGTGTTACTTTGAAATCCCCCTTTTTTTAAGCTTCTCAAATTTACATGTGTGAGCCAAGCTGCCACTTTCTGTTAGCTGTGAGCATTATTAACATGCTCTTATAAAATATTGTGTTGTTTGTGGAAACGAAGAATTCAAATCGCGCCGTTAAGGAGTGGCGATGACTATAATTAGTGTGGAGGTGCCATGGGACTGCGAGATGATCAATACTCACCCGTGGATTCTTCTTTCATTAGCATTTGTGCAGAATAATTTGTCAGCATGAAGGATGCAATTAGCTACATCCTCCCTGTGGGCTGAGTTGAGACACGGGGGAGGGATTGATTTGGAGCCAACGTGAGCCCAGGAGATACTAAAGTGCTAGACCCAATCGCTCTGAAATTGCGCATTGATTTTTGGACCTTAAAATAAATATCAAGGGTTCATACGAGTTATTTTTTTAAGTGTGACATCGTTTTCTGCTTGGGAAAATATCATGCCTTGTAAGTCGGATTCTGCAACAATTAGGCGTCTAACTATGCATCAAGTCGTCGAATTGTGTCCGTTGTGGATGTGTGAACGAGAAACACAAATGAGTCGGTGAAAATGGAGCAACAAAAATCTATTCGTGAATTGAATTTTTAATTGCCCCAGGGGTTAGGGGGTGGAGGGCGGCTGAGGGGGTGGGAATTGAAGGGCACGGTGTGGTGAATTGTAACAATAATAGTTACACTCGAATAACACTGGTGTGCTTGCTAGCAGCAACAATGTTGTCTGGGATTGAGTCCCGTTGCTGTGTTTACGATTCACATGCTTGCACGGGTAAAGAGCGCGGAGGATCCATTACGACCATTTATTTTCAAAACTCAGCTTCAACCTTGCTTTGTTGTTTTGCCTTCATTTAAATCGAATGCTTGTTTAACTCGATTGAACATTCCGTCTGCTGTGCCTCCCAATTCCTTCCAAGCAAACGACCAAAGCGGCCCATACGCAGGCCGGTGAAGCGCCCTTCCCCGAGGAGGCCGGTCACCCTCACGTACGACGGTGACATCGACCTCTAGGGAACTGCGACCCCATCATCTGGGCAGGGTCGTCGCAACCAGCGAGTGAATTCCACGGTTCGTTGACGGGGTTTTTGTTGTTGTATCCATTGGACTGAACCACACAAACTTATATGGCTAGACAATCAGCTGCTTTTTTGGAACTTGTGGAAAATATGTACACACTGTGCAAAGACTTAGACTTGGTGTATATATACGTAAAAAGTAAGTTACATAATGAGATAAGACCAACATCATTCTGATTCATGCAAGCTCGTCTGTGGGTATCAGCACATATGCTGCACTACAGAGTGCATTTTGGATGCAAAAGCAATGTGCCTGTATCAGAAAAAGGAAGCAACTCGTCCACCACTTGAGAGAGAAACAGCCCTTGGTGTAAATGGTGAAAACCATGAGGAATATCGTCGACATTGTCAGCCAAGAGAGCAAGAACCAAACAGTGGATGGCCAGAGCAGAGATGCAGCAGTCAAATCAGAGCACATGGAATCCGGCAGAATTTAATCAGTCAAATAAGGATGAGTATAGAATCCAAAGTAATTTTACGAGTCAAATCAGAAGACATGGAATCCATCAAAATGGAATCAATCAAATCAAGACAAGTGTAGAATCCAAAAGCATTTTACCAGTCAAATCAGGACAATTGTAGAAAATGGATGTGTACTCTTATGTTTCTGTCTCTCTTGCCATCGGGATGTTCTCTTGGGGATCTTTGACTAAAAGACCAGCCTCTCTACAACAACGTTAGTTTTTTTACAAAGCTGCACAAGGTTGAAAAAAAATATGCTACCAGCCCAGGGATCGCTGCATAAGAGTGAATGCATATTCACGGCTGATTCCTTTAAGGCGGCCAATGAAAGCGCATCAAATGGTGGATTATGTAAAATCAGTTGAGCTTCAGAAGAGAACATGATGCCAAAATATGTAAGGCACTTAATTAACAGAGTGGAACAATGTTTATGCAGAACTCATCACAGCTTTCAACAAGCAGGATGCCGCTACCACCAAGCCATCCTCCGGAGCACAGAAGCTGGACACTGCAATCATGAGTTGTTCTATACGTGCAGAAAAAATAAAATCAGCTCTAAAAATGACCGGCCTTTACCCACATCCACATTAATGAACAATAATTTTGCCTATCTGCTTCTGTTTTTTGCTGCAAATGAATTGCGTTCTGCATTTGATAATAATAACTGTCTTAACAATCCGTGGTCCTGCACAAGCAGACCATGGATGTTGTTTCTCTATTCCTTTTTTTGTACCCGGCGCTATAAATTCATTGCACTGTCTATGGACTCTAAAGCGTAGCAATTTTACAGCCTAGCAAACAACATGCACAACTTCTACAATGTTAAACGTGAAACCTGCGCTCCAGTCCTGTGCTGAAGCACATTGTTGTGGATGGAGGGGGGGGGGACGGTGTATTTGTTATTAACGGCGAGTCGCAATTACATAACTGCGTATAGTCATTTGGATGTGCTTCGTTGTCGGCTGATTTATTTATGGACAAGAGAATTGCTACCGTTGATTGCATGCAGAGGCAATCGGGCGGAGTTGCGGCGAGACCCAATCACACGGTGCTCTTTGTGTTTGGTCAAGTAAAAGAGAAAAAAAAGCCTTCGTGTGAGACGTTGCCTGGCCTGACCTGGGTAAGGATAACTATTTGCACTATGTTATGGGCACACACACTTTTCCATCATCGTCCTGATAATGAAATGCGTCTCGCACGAGGCTCTCAGTAGAAGCCGTTACTCCTGGGACTCCGTGAAAATAGACACGCGGAGCGATGTCCTTTTGCCATGCGTTGTGGGGAAAAAAAGCCTTTATATCATTGTTTAAAGCTGTGTTTTTTTGTTGCAGAGCAGAAAAAAAAATGAGGTGATAATGTTTTACTTTACGTACTTGATTGTGTAACTACTGTGCTGTGTCGACATGTTGTTGAATTTCAAAGGGTATCCTTGCAAAGCGGGTGTTCGTGGAAAATTCATATAAATACAGCGCAATGTAGCAACAATGTAAAAGTGTTGTTTTGTAATGCACTTTGCATTTTGTTTCCGAAACTTTTTTTTTCTTTAACAAACGTTGGCATTATGACAAAGAACTAAGCAAAGTATTCGTATAAATATAATGCTTGTGTACAGTCATTTGAATTCATGATTTCTTATATTTAAATAGCGTAAGGGATTTGGAAGGATTACACGTGCACTGACTTGTCAAATACTTAATTTACATTGTATGTTATAAGGTAATCTGTATATCTGTATTTAATGTAAAGATGATAATAATTACAAAAGCCAATAGCGCAATCCTTAACTGCCATGGAGTGTAACAGGTGATTGTTAAACATGTTCAAACTGCCTATGGAATTTGTTGAGTGTATGAGTCCTGCTGTACTTCGCTGTGTATACGTTGGCCTATTGTGGATGCAACACTGCATTAACCGGGCATGCAACAATGCATCAATTAAACATTTTTTTTAATAGATTATGGTCACAAAAAAACACGCATTGATGTAGGATGGTTTATTTACGATGATGCAACGTATATGCAAATTTAAATGTGTCATCTTACATTTAGTCTAATAGCGCGAAACGAAGCTATACGAGGGAGTGGCAGAACAAATGAAAACGACCGAGACACAATGCAAACGAAACTGTAATCACGAGACAATCCATTCTTCATTTGCATCGTGACCCCGAAGCTATTTTTCACAGATGTCCAGTAGGGGCAGGCCCGAAAAGTTACAACAACAAACAATACAAACATACGTTAGGAGTGCAAAGTATAGAAAAGGTAACCAAATAAACAAAGAAACATAGTGCATGCTAAAAATACACTTTTTATTTTACCAGATAAAACCCACTGAACTATTCTTTTTCAGAAGCCACCTGGCCACAGATTGTAGCTCAAGGAAGTGGCTTATCGTGTGGAAATTTATAGCAGGCAAATAATCCAAACGATCTCAACGCATGTTTCTAATGTGGAGAGTAAAACTGGAGGCATCGAACCCACGACCCTGGTTGTGGGGGGTGTCAAACACATTCCTGCGGAGGGGGCTGGTAGGAACGTTGGTTGCTCGGTCAGTGGCCAGGGTCAACGGCGGCGTGGTGTATTCCGCAAATATGCCCGACTGTGAGGGTGGGCACAAGCTGGCGTGAGTAGGCTAAACGTTGAGTTTCATAAGGGCACCACGGGGTGACCAACCCACCCAGCCCCACCCCTCCCACCCCCCACCCAGCCCCACTCTCCCCTCCCAGCACCTCCCCACCCTCCCTTCCCCACCCAGCCCCTCCCTACCCTCCCCTCTCCACCCAGCCCCACCCCTCCCATTTTTTTTTACATCCGAATGTCCGGATACACGTGGACAGACATCCACAGACATACACAATTAATCCCCTGCCTCCTGTGAGAATTAATCCCGGTTGGGCTTCCAGTCCACTACATTTCCTACCAGTACCAGTATAAATGGGCGCAAGGTGGCGATGTTTTTATATATCCGGGTGTCCGAATACACGTTGGACAGACATCCACAGACATAGACAATTAATCCCCTGCCTCCTGTGAATTAATCCCGGTTGGGCTTCCAGTCCACTACGTTTCCTACCAGTATTAGTACATGCCTACAGCATCAAGTTTTTGCCAGATCGAGAGAAAGTAAAACGCCTATCAATTATTTGAAATAAACCCCCTGGTTACTGATAAATATTCACTTGTTTAATCATTCTCCCAATTGGATTATTCTGATATTGCTTATCAGGAAAAGGGAGCACATTCCGTTGATGTTCACGGTATTACAATCAGCTGTGCCAAGTGAATTGATTACACCTGTGCAAAAACTCCCCTTTCCTGTGTGTAAAACTAAAGGCAAAGACAAAGATTCCCCATACAGCCGTGACATACTTTTGGGGCAAGTGCTGTTAGCGATCACCTCTGAAGGCCAGCACGGCACACGAGGGAGTGGGTGTTCAGCACCACGCCCGGCTGCCTTTGTCTCCCGAGTGACGATGATTACACACCGAACCAGGCCCTCATTTGATGCTGAGTCGACCTAGGAGAGGCCCAGGATTGGTTTAGATAATCGTCACTGGTGTTGGCCGTGAGCGGGAATCGAACTCGGATCGCTGGATTCGTAGCGTAGCGTGATAACTGCTACACCACTCCCCACAACTAAAGGCGTACATTATCACAAACGTTTAAATTCTATAAAACTTTTTTTGCGAAATTATAGTAATTTGTCACTCATTATGACTTGTATGTGACAAATTGTATATCAATGAGCTCTCCCTCGATTAATTAAAGGACAATGGATAGAATTTAATCATGCAGATTTAAAGCTCCCCAGCCACTTTCCTGACAACAATTTGAGGAGTCAATTACACATGGGTCACACTTTCAATTTCAAACAAGAAAATGTGTATTGTATCTGCTGTATTGCAGAAATGCCTATCCCAAGCCCATTAATGCCGGAGCGTGTGTTGGCTTATTTGGGCCAGGGTTTTTCAACGACATTGTCTGGTGGACCACAAAATAAAATTTGGCACATCTGACAGGCCACGTGAAGGTCACGTCATTATGTCACTTGGGTTCGTGACAATGTCTGTATATATGACCTCTTTATCTGTCCCTCGAGTGTCCAGGTCTCATCTACCTTGCTTATCTTGGTTTCATATCACGAGTCATTATCTATTGTCAATACCTCTCAAATTTCGAGATGTTTATCTCTCTTTCATCTCAATAATCGGTATCTTTTTATGTATCAGTGAGCCATATCTCTTGGCGGGCTACTGCCAACGGCCTTCACGGGCCACGAGTTGAAGAACCCTGAAGTCACCGCTTATCTGAGCTTTGAACGTTGTGACTAATATATGTAATACTGGGCAAACAAGAGTCTGGGTGTAAAACAAAAAAAACATGATTCGAATTGATAAAAAAATAGGAATGTGTGTTGAACATTATACAGTGTATAATGGATACATATACTACAGTACAGTATTGAGGAAAAAAAAACTAAGTCAAGGTGGAATTTCTTCAGTTTCACAACGTCCATGCAAGAGAAGCATGATAAATTTAAATGAATGGCATCAGTGAATGTTTGTCTGAATCCGTGATGAATAGGAGGGGATAAGTGCTCACAGTATTTGATAAATTTAAACAATTTAAAATTATGCATTGTTATTCACGTCCACGCTCACACTAAAGCAGTTGCACGTTATTTCAGATTAAATGTGGCGGATCTGGCTAGGTACCGCAGTAGTTGGAGCATACAGGTCACAACTGGAAGGCTCCCGAATTTAAATCATGATCGATCAATTATCACTTTATCAGAAATCCATATTGGTTGTCTTATGGAATTACTCACTCCCACCATAGGAATGTGGAATTTCCACCATTGGCTGTAAACATGATATGAGTGCCATCCCATACCCATATCAGCAGGAAAGCGCTCGACTTATTGGCTTGAGTGACAGCCACTGCATAGGTTTTCGCAGTTGTGCTGGCTCTCTCTGATGTGTTTTTAGTTTGTACCACGTGTTGTTCTGCATTATGTCCGACGTTTTGCTTCGTGTATTGGGAGCATAATTCAGAATTCAGTTCCTGAAGAAGAGCCCACCACGTGGAGCGAAACGTCGGATATCGTCCTGTACAACAGGCAGTACAACCATAAACACATCAATATAACTCACGAGTGAGGAGCTTCACAGATTTTAAAATAACTATAATGTTGACAGTGTGCCCAAGTATCCGCATGAAATGGTTGACCTTCGAGGAGCCTCCATTACTTTTATGGGACTCTTAACTGGGTCCAGTCGAGAGTCTCATAAAAGTGCATCTCTAACTTGGTAAACATCTCACTATGTAATTTTGATTTAAAGCTTTCGTGACTGCAGTAATTCATATTCTTAGCTCTTTCGGTAAAGTCACGTTGAAGGGAAACAATAAATATTAAAATATATAAATATAAAAAAATTACATAATCAAATATATTTCATTATTTTATTGTTTCCCTTCAACGTGACTTTACCGAAAGAGCTAAGAATATCTCACCATGTGTTTAGATGTAGATCTCTGATCTGGGAACAGTCTCATCCTTTGCGAGGGGATTGCAAATGTTACGCGGCCAATTACATTTGAAAAATGCCACATTCAGAACTGTGGTTCCATTTCGTATGAACAATGTAATAAACTAATGCTGTGAGAAGCATGATTACAGTTGAGTCAACAATGAAAAAGAACAAAAAATTACGGCGTGTGACATGAAAAATTAAATAAAAATGCGCGGGTAAGTGCTACTTATTCAAAGGACATTGTGTACATGTGTTGTGACAGCACAGGCACATCTGTTTATCATGCATTGTTAGGATCTTCTCCGTACGTCGTATAAATCCCCAAAACATTTACATCTCCGCTGCGCAGTGGCTTGAGATTTGTATGTTTAAAGCCTCTGTAGGCTTCGTGCTGTTTCAATGTATGCTGCCTCTCCGCAATGATGCCAATACAAATAGCTGATTTTCGCGCAACCACTAGAGATGGCATTGCAGCAATAACACCGCCTCAAAGACTCGACGCAGAAAATCCCTGACTTCAATCTTCCGCAAAGCTTATGGGCAACCCTAATTGTTAAAACACTCCCCGGCGTGCAACTGTGGTCACCCAGAAGATACCCGATTCACAAATGCGAAGGAGGGATCACAGCGATACACTCCACTACTGACGAAATGTGGCACGACCACCTCAACGCTTATATGTCGTCGTTGGTCCTACAACAACAGCAGCCATACGAAGAGGATTACAGCAATAATTTGAATCCATGTGAAAAACCATTGGTTTGTCTGGGTTTTCTCCTCGTGCTCCAGTTTCCTCTTCCAAGGTAAACGCTTTTTAATGGAATTTACCAAACGTCAAAATGCAAAATCCTCTACAGTCTTCAAACTCCGAGGGTTTATTTAATAGATAAACTAACATTATTACTCCTACTTCCATGATGTGAACCTGTAAATTGGTTTTAAGCTCGCTGAGCATCAATTCCACCTGTTTTGAGTTGGTATAAGAAGACAATATAAATAGTTTTAGTGTAGAAAAATAAAGGGTGAAGCAATGCATTAAAGGCCCAGTGAGTTGAGTTCAATTTCTGGCTACAGCTAACATCAGTCGAGAGTGACATTTGAACCGGTCATGTACACCCTGCTAACAATTCACCAACCAGCACCTACGATTAGCGCGGCTGGCTACGTACAGTGCGAGAGAAGCTCAACATAAAAAAACATACGACCAGCGTGGTGAAGTATGGTCAATTATCACCTCCGACCGACACGGCATGGTGCCTTAGTATAGCAGTGGTATGGAAAAGAGCTGTGATAAAATACGTAAAGACTGGACATCGGCTTTGACACAATGTGTGCAATAATACTATCCCCCCCCCTCCCCCCCTAAAAACAAAAAAAATCGATTGCGTAGAATTTCACCGCACGTGCGCGTGTGCGCGCGCATTTTGTCTATAATT